CCTCTGTTTCAGTGCAGTATACATTATTGAACCCATCTTACTCAGTCTCTCCCCAACCCCAAGGACAGTCCCATTCTACAACAGTGGGACTGATCCCTTTTGATAATATGTCCAAATTACAGTTGCTTAAGACATAGTTTCACTATCTTATCTAAGGCGAACATTCTGGCTGCATTCCTCTCAAGAAAGATTTGTTCCTCTGTCATTTTGTGGTATATTCTTCACAGGCAGCATAATTCAGATGCATCAGTTCTTTGATCGTTTTTCATTGTATGGCTTTTGCATGCATGTGAGGCAATTGAAAATACCAGAGTTTGGCTCAGGCACATCTGAGTTGTCAAAGTGACATCTTTGCAGTCTCAATATAAATAGGTCTTTCGCAGAAGAATTTTCCTACCTCTTGGAATCTGAATAACAGTTTTTAAAAGGTTTTTACTACCTTATATGCTTCGAACTATTTGTTTTTCTCCATATTTCATAGTTTATTTTTTATTTTTCACTATCATTCATTGGAAGCTTTTGCAGGCCAAAGTAATTAGATTCCTTTTCTAGCCTTCAGGAGACCATAGTCTACCTACTGTTTATTATAAACTGTTTATTGCCTGATGGAAAAATTCTTAAAGAGACACTTACAGGCAGAACTAAAGGTATAAAAGTTAGGAAGATATTGATAAAACAATTTCTCAAAGATCACTACCTATTCTGTCATCTTTAGTTGCTTTTTGTGTTCATTCAGCAAGACTTTCAGTAGTGCTGGATTTATTATTATTGTTGTTGTTGTTATTATTATTATTATTAATTTTAATGAAAGTTTACAGAGACTTAGGGTTTCCAGTCATTCATTGTTGCACTTTTCTCCCTGCCTACCCCCTCCTCACCAATTCACTCTTCCCCTTGAAAAGTAAAAGAAAAACTCTTTCATTGTTATGCAGCCCCTCCTCCCAAGTCTACTCCACTATGCAGCCTTCATTCTGGATTTCTATATTGACAAGAATACCCAATCATATACTCCTTCTAAACAGTTCTCTCCCTCATCAGTTTCAATGCAGTATACATCATTCCACCTCTCCTTTTCTGTCTTCCCTCAACCCTGATGTCAGTCTTGTTTTACAACAGTGGCCTTATGCAGTATTTGGTTTTTTGTGACTGAGATACTTCACTTAGCATAATGTCCTCCAGAGTCGTCCATTTTGCATACTATTTCATGAGTTCCTTGTTTTTCATTGCTGCATCGTATTCCATTGTGTGAATATATCAGAGTTGCTCTATCCATTCGTTTGTTGGTGGGCACTTGGGTTGTTTCCAACTCTTTGCTATTGTGAACAAAGTCTCAGTAAACATGGGTGTGCATATATCTGCTTGGTGGCATTTATGGCTTCTTTTTAAAAAATGTTTAAATTATTTTATGTTATTATTCATTTCAATGAAAATTTGAAGAGACTTTGGGTTTCCATGCATTCATTGTTGCACTTTTCTCCTTTTTTCCCCTCCCAACCCTCCCCCCTAGTTCACTACCCTCTTGGAAAAGAAAAAGAAAAATTCTTCCATTGTTTTACAAACCCTCCCCCAGGTCCACTCCACTATGCAGCCTTCTCTCTGGACTCCTGTCAAGACAAAATTACCTAATCACATATCCCTTCTAAACAGTTTTCTCCCTTCCTTAATCTGTTTCAATGCAATATACATTATTGAACCCATCTTTCTCAGTCTCCTCCCAACCCCGATGTCAGTTCTGTTTTACAACAGTGGCACCATGCAGTATTTGTCCTTTTGAATAATATTGCATGAATTCCTTGGTTTTCCATTCAGCGTAGTATTCCATTGTGTGAATATGCCACAGCTTCTCTGTCCATCTTTTGTTGATGGGCACTTAGGTTGTTTCCACCTCCTTGCTATTGTGAACAAAACCTCAGTAAACATGGGAGTGCATATGTCTGCTTGGATGTCAGTTATGGTCTCTTTGGGGTATATTCCTAGTAGTGGAATTGCTGGGTCCAATGGAATCTCTATTTGCAATGTTTTTTTAAATATTTTTATTTTTTTATTATTATTAAATTTTATTCATTTTAATGAACATTTACAGAGATTTTGGGTTTTCATTCATTCATTGTTGCACTGTTTTCTCCACCCTCATCCCCAGTTCGTTCTTCTTCCCCCCCATGTCTGTTTTAATTGTCCAATTGCCACAGTGCTTGTCAAAGCCAGTTCTGATTAATCTCCTTTGTCAGTGTGTCCCTTGCCATTCCCTATCACTCCTCCCTGAGAGATACTTCACCCTGATTCATAAGGAAAAGGGGATGGCGTATTCTCTTAGCTACTTCCTGCTGAAAAGGGACGCTGTGGGTTTCAGGGTGAAGGTCTTCTCTCACTACTCCAAAGGGCCCCCTTGGCAGTAGGAAACACATAGACTATTATGGAGATTGATTTTGGAATTTAGATGCACTGTTATCAGTTGTGCTTAGCCATACATGTTCTTATCCTTGAAGATGTATCATGGAAGTGTTGCAGCCTAGAAGATACAAATTTAACTAACAAGTTAAAAGTGCATGAGTCAAAAATTGAAAAGCAATAATATTCTGAGTAGAGGTTCTAATAGTGGCACAAATCAAGTTACAGAGGTAAGGTGGTTCCATTGCCATCCTTACTCTAACTTAATTCTTTTTTTAAATTTAAATTTGTTATTAATTTCCGTGAAAATTTACAGAGGCTTTGGATTTCCATTCATTCATTGTTGTAGATTTGTCCCCTCCCAAGGCTCCCCCCCACCAGACATTACCCTCTTGGAAAAGTAAAAGAAAAGATTCTTTCATTATTTTACAAACCTTCCCCCAGGTCCATTCCACCATGTAGCCATCGCTCTAGACTCCTCTGTCATGACTGAAATACCTAATCACATATCTCTTTTAAACAGTTTTCTCCCTTCTCTGTTTCAGAGCAGCATACATTTTTGAACCCATCTTACTCAGTCTCTCCCCAACCCCAAGGACAGTCCCATTCTACAACAGTGGCACCATGCAATATTTGTCCCTTTGTGACTGGGACATTTCACTCAGCATAATGCTCTCCAGAGTCAACCATTTTGAGTAATATTGCATGAGTTCCTTGTATTTTAATGCAGCATAGTATTCCATTGTGCAAATATACCACAGCTTCTCTAAGCCATTCGTTTGTTGATGGGCACTTAGGTTGTTTCCAACTCCTTGCTATTGTGAACAAAGCTGCAATAAACATGGGTGTGCATATATCTGCTTGGGTGTCAGTTATGGTCTCTTCTGGGTATATTCCCAGTAGTGGAATTGCTGGGTCCAATGGAATCTCTATTTGCAACTTTTTGAGAAAGCGCCATACTGCTTTCCACAGGGGTTGCACCATTTTACACTCCCACCAACTGTGACTAAGGGTTCCAGTTTCTCCACAACCTCGCCAGCATTTATTGCATGCTGTTCTGTTAAATTTTGCTATTTTGACTGGGGTGAGATGATATCTCATGGTTGTTTTAATTTGCATCTCTCTTGGGGCTAGGGATTTTGAGCATTTCTTCATGTGCTTGTTAGCCATCTGAATGTCGTCTTCGGTGAAGTGACTGTTCATATCCTGTGGCCATTTTTCTATTGGATTCTTTACCTTTATCTTGTTGTGGTGCTGTTTGCAATTTTTTGAAAAAGCGCCATACCGCCTTCCACAGTGGTTGCACCATTGTACACTCCCACCAACAGTGAATAGGGTTCCAGTTTCTCCCCAACCTCGCCAGCATTTGTTCTG